TATCTCTTATCAAAATGCGCGACTACAGTGCGCGTTACCTGCGTATAAAATACGCCCCGTGCGCTCTTATCTATTTCTACCGCAAAGCAGTAATGCGATCGCATTACTGTGTTTCGAGTTTGAAGGGTAAGGGTGCTGGTAAAATTACAGACACGTGGGATTTGTCAATTGTCTCAGTTTGACGGCCTGAGTGCCCCTCAGATCTTTGGATTTAAAACTCTAACAGGCATTGGAACTGGACAACGACTTGTTTGTCCCATTGGCATCATAAAAAAGTGTGATTTATTCTGCCAATCTTACAATTAGACCCCTCCTACGTAAAGTATCGTATGTCGAAATTGCCAAGTTTACAGGGGAGCGTTTTAAAGTTCTGAATTCACTGAAAGAGTGATTACCATAGATCATCTAACCAATATCTAGGATTTTATAATACTCTATGTGAGTAATGAGCTTTGCCGAATAAAACTGAGAAATGCTAAAGTCACGTGTTATGTTCGTTTCAGTGAATTCAGAACTTTAAAACGCTTCCCTGTAAACTTGGCAATTTCGACATACGATACTTTACGTCGGAGGGGTCGAATTGGACGTAGTTAAACAAAAAGGATCCAATACACATCCAGTCCCTTTCGAGATATGGCAGTTTGAAGTTTCTCACTTTCTCATTTCTCACTCTTGTTTTATTTTCAAAACTTATATGGTCATGTAAGTCCAGAGATATTTATTTATGTTTATATGTTGGAACTTTTTGCTGATCTAAGAGGTACGTATAACTCATTTTTTGATAATTTTGTGGATTGGATCCTTTTTTGCTTAACTACGTCCAATTGTACTCATGAAGACAATCTTTTGTTGCAAACGGTGCCTTCTACGTCAATACAACATTTACGATTTAGTTTAAATTTCATAACTAAGAACAGAATTGTCACCATGTTTAGTTTTTATTGTGACTTTATATTATCGTCAATATGAGGTGTAATGAGAATCGACTTAACCATTCCCAAGAGACTATCACTTTAGTTACACAGGCTTACTTATAAAACACTGAAAACCTCGCAGGACTATATTCCTAACATCAAACAACAACGTTTCTTAGATAACTTTTAACAATTCATCAGATGTTGCTTTCCTACAAAAATAAAAACATTTTTCTTCTTTTGTACTTTCTGTCAATTATAATTCATTCGTTCATTCGTTAAAGACGTCCACTGCTGAACATAGGCCTCCCCCAAAGAATGCCACAACGACCTGTCCTGCGCCGCTTGCATTTAGCGGACTCCTACAGCCTTCACCAGATCATCAGACCACCTTGTGGGTGGTCTGTCCACGCCGCGTCTACCGGTACGCGGTCGTCACTCGAGATATTCTCATTACACATTCGATCTCGCAACGAAAGTCCAAGCATAGCCCTATCCATTGCCCTTTGATTGTCAATTATAATTACATAAACCATATCACAAAGGCGCTCTTTTTAGTTCTGAATCAAAAGTCTATTGTCTATGGTATTAGCCACTGAGCTGAAAAATATCATTCAAGTTCTGTACACAGATAATGAGTTTCATTATCTGTGTAAAAGGAAGTCGTATTTTTGCTAATTAGGACGCTACTCAAGCGCTATACTGCCTCTGGATTGGTTAAATTGGCTTAAGAGTCTTGCAACTGGATCATAATTCGACCCCTCCTACGTAAAGTATCGTATGTCGAAATTGCCAAGTTTACAGGGAAGCGTTTTAAAGTTCTCCGTTTTATTCGGCAAAGCTCGTTACTCAAATAGAGTGGTCATCTAACACATCCTCTAACCGATATCTAGGATTTTATAATACTCTATGTGAGTTGCGAGCTTTGTCGAATAAAACTGAGAAATGCTAAAGTCACGTGTCGTGCTTATTTCAGTGAATTCAGAATATTTAAAAGGCTCCTCTGTAAACTTGGCAATTTCGACATACGATACTTTACGTCGGAGGGGTCGATATATCTTTATAAAAAAAACTTTTTGGTCAAAATATATGTGGTACCTGGCCAGTTCTGTTCCATCTCTTTGCTTTTTGTTTGTTTTTTTTTTTATAAAAAAATAAGTGTGCATTTGACCTGACCTCTATCTCACCTGATGGAAAGTGATGATGAGGTCAACGATGTAGCATGCACACCTAAATAATGCCTATTCACTCTCGCCTTGAAAAGGTCCAAGTTATAGCGATTGGGAAATAAATCTGCAGGCAGGGAATTCCACTCTCTAACCGCTCGCCATTTGGAAGCGTAACGCTTTGTGCGAATCCGGGGAATATACACAACATAGAGGTGGAATACCAGCACGCGTCTAGTCCTCCGATGATGGAAAGGGGATAGCCGAATCAAATTATGCAATTCCATCGCACACTCTCCGTGATATATCCGTTTTTGTAGCGTTTGTTTAGCTTAAGGCTAAATATATGAAGAAGCTGTATAGTGAGATTTTGCCTACCATAATGAGTTAAATTTATTTGAAAAAAAAATTGCGTTTGTCGTCATGGTCTTTTTAACAAAATATATATTATTATATTTAATCGTAGAAAAAGTATTATATGCAATAATTACATAATTAAGTCTTAAAATCTCGTACTTTATTACGTAGGCCACGAGGCTTTATTACTTAGTCCACTCGGCTTTCGGTACTCGAATTTAAAAACCCTCATTATTATATATCGAGTTCTTAGGTTTTCGCGATTGTTATACATAGGAATGAAACTATTTTTCCGGATTTATTCTAGTTATTATAGTTAAATCCTCAATATATAATTAATATCCTCATTATTATAGTTAAATAGATAACTCTAAACGATAATAACTCTGTGCGGCAACAAAAGAAGCCAATCTGATGCAAAACGCAGGAGGTGTGTGTGGGGATAACGTTTGCACGTTTGAACTTGCTACCTCACTACCAAAAATAAATTTTTTCTATTTTTGTAACAAAAGTTGTTGTTATTTATGGCATTAGTAATATAGTCTTGAGAAGTAGTTAGTACTTTAAAAACATTCCTGTGTACGCGCACAGGCATAACGAGTCAAAGGACAAATCGAGAGAAAAAAACACACGCGTCCATTACACGCGATAGCTAAAACATATCACAATCGCTCCGACCACCGTACATTTACTCTCACAATTGAGAAAAAATTGCACGCGCGAAATTACACTGGCGTAATTTGCGCTCGATTTATCCACAACCATAGGCGGCATCTTGTAAAAATCTATAAAGCTACAATAAAAACAAGGCATTTAACTATCTGACAATCATTTTCCTTTTCTAATTAGAAATCGCAGATAATTTTGTTTTATTTTTTTTTAAACTGAAAAATTTGCTGTAGTTAATTTATAATTGACTAGATTTTGTTATTACTATGACTGTGAAAGAGTGCCTCCCAAATTAGTCAATTGTTTCATTGATAATTGAAATGAATAGACAAGCCATTTGGCACTTTTTTCAATCAACTTGTTATTGAATATCGTCAGAAAAATTATCCCGTTGTTGTTGAAATTATCCCGTGTGCAGCGCGACATAACTGTTACGTAAGCCCCTCCTCCCACATCGCGCACTTACCTCAGGAACCGGCTCACTTAAGTGGTAGGCCCGTGGTATAAGTATTATATTATCTGTGGTATAATACAGTAGGCTAGTCGGAGTGCTTATTCTACGCAGATTAAGTCGCGAGCACAAGCTAGTTTGATATAATTTGGCATACGGACGCAGGACCCTCTCATCCATTGCCCACAGAGCTAACCCTTGGGTCACCGAGGTAGTAAAATTTTATTAAGAATAAAAATTCATGCTGTTTTATTATTTGATCCTCACAGTTATAATAGATCTAATGTAAATTTGCACTTTTTTTCAAATAAACGATATTTTTTGTAGTTTGATATATCTATATATTATATTGTATCGTCTATATTTTGATCTACGGATAAATTATTAATCTGCATTCAAGGTAACACTATATTATGTTTAAGCATACTCAATGAATATTTGATAGTCAAAAATAATATTTGATTCTCTTTTTTTAATATAGGTAAAATCTTGGTTGTGTAACCTCCATTAGTATATGAAAAAGCAGAAGCTAATTTGCTTGCGTTTCCGAATATGGTTTCAGGTTTTTTTAATGACCATTTGTCTTAGTTTTGAACTTGATGAAACTATCAAAGTTAATTTAATACTAATGAAACATTCGCTCAGAACATATTAAAACATATATTAATTTGATTATTAATATAAAAATCGAACACGGTTTGTCTACTAGCAAACCGTGTCAGACTCTATGCCAACTAAGCCATGTAACGAACCAGCGGATCTCTATGTGTTTGTTGTTGGATCTTTGTATTTGGTTTTTCAACGACTTTTTAACCGTAGCGCCATCTATGAGCAATCTATGAAAGTATTTCGTCACGTATGAGACGTCAGTTTGAATCCGGTCGGGCCTAAGGAATTTTTTCTAAGTATTCTATGTCTACCTTTGTATTAATATAACAAACTAGTGGAGAAGTTTCACAAAAAATAATTGAATATCCATTCAATAAAAATTTAAAATACAGTGAATAGCGACATCTCTCGCCAGGGCTGGTAGCTGTAAAGGTATCTAACTGATTGACGAAATATTTTCATAGTTTTCTCACAGATGGCGCTACGGCTAAAAAGTCCTTGAAAAACCAAATACAAAGATCGGACAACAAGTAAATAGAAGAATTCGTTAGGTCCGCTGGTTCGTTCCGTGGCTTAGTTGGCATAACGCCTGGCACGGTTTGCTAGGAAACGTCGGTTACAATCCAGCCGGATCAAAGGAATTTTTTTCTGAGTGCTCGATCTTTGCATTAATAATTATAACAAACTAGTGGAGTAATTTCACAAAAAATAATTGAATATCAATTCAATACAAATTTAAGTACAGTGATATAATTTGTTTTATGTCTCAGAGAAAAAGGATCAATTTTAAAATTCAACATTAAAAAAGATGACCGTTTATATTTTCTTGCCGACTGCTTTTGCACATTTCAAATTTAAAATAAATAAAAGTTGTATATTTTCACCCTGTTTTATCTGCGATTTCTTCTAATTTTAACTATCGCTTTTATAACCTTTCATTAAATGCTAGTAACGATAATAATTAGGTTTGAACGGGCCGACCTTGTTAAGGCCCAGGTATTTCGCCTGTTCGTCTGTCAATTCCGTCAAATGCGCGTCGAATGTAGGCAGATGCAGGCTTGCCACGTACTCGTCCATTTTTTTTGGTAATAGATACACGTCCGCCTGTAACAATATATTTATTTATTAAAAACTTACTTCTACCATTAGTTATAACCAATGCGATAGTGTACAAATTCACATGAATATTCTTACATTAAGTCCATACTTTAAAAAATATATATATAAAAATTAACTACCCGTTAAAATTATTAAGAAATATGTACATAGCAAATAAAGTATAGTGTTATCCTTGTGAATTCACACAGAATACATGAAAATAAGTCCGTTCTGTCTGCAACATCATTTAGGATTTGAAAAGCTCGTGTGAGTGGGGCCTTCTGTTTTCGTCGCCTCCCTACGTAATTATTCGGCACGCACAAAGCCACCCTTTCCAGTATACTAGGGTTTAAGATTGACCCTCTAAGTAGTTTAAAAATAATATACGTAAATAAGTGTGAGAAATGCTAAAGTCACGTGTTAGGGCGCGTTTCCACTATCCATTCATGTTTTATTATCGTTGGACGACTGTCGTGCCTAGCCTGTTCCCATATCACGACTATCTGTCAAGGACGATTTTTATCGTTGAACGACTGTCCTGACTCGCTGTTTCCACTAGATCATGACGACAATAGGAGCTGCGACAATCTGTCGTCACGTTTTTATCGTGACGTTTTTTTATCGTCTGACGACTGTCGCTCTAGCTGTTCCCACTGTGACGACAGTTTGTCGTTGTAACGATAAAAAATCGTGAACGACAGGTAATCGTGTCGTGCTATATGTGTAAAACTTCATTTAAATATACAAGCCACGACACTGTAAACTCCACGACAATCTGTCGTCACGACATAGTGGGAACGCGCCCTTATGCTCATTTCAGTGAATTCAGACCTTTAAAACGCTCCCATGTAAACTTGGCAATTTCGACATGCGATACGTTGCGTAGGAAGGATCGAATATAAACTCCGGAATCAGTTGCCCGAGCCCAAAGTGCATATTAAGGTGGTCAAATTACTTTTCAAGTTTCCTATGTGGCTTTATTGCTAAGGTTGGTCAATGTTTACCTTGTACCGATGCTGCGGCGCGTTGTAGAGCTCGATCAAGGCCAGCGCCTGCGTGGCGGCCGTCACGGAGACCACGAACGAGGGCAGCGACGAGCAGCACAGGTTGGCCAATCGCCCTTCCGCTAGGAGGACGATGCGTTTACCGTTTGGCCAGATTATGTGGTCCACCTGGAATGGGCCATCTGACTCAATTCCTTTTTTATGGTGCACAACGAAGAATTGTGTATTTAAAACGTTTTTATGTGGTAATGTGCTGCCTCCGTGGCTGAACGGTTACCATGCCGGACGAAGAAATATTTGTATGGCCTACATTTATTTGTCTCGTGAGTTTGGGTGTAATTTGTGGTTGTCTATGTGTGCGTCTATGGCACCCGCAACACAGGGTTTCCCTAGTGCGGGGCTATGTTGAGTGTAAGCGTTGTTGTTGTTAATTTGTATAAGAGAAAATCAGAGAACAAAAATATAACGAGAATGGACACTCTCCGCCCCTCCCTAGCTTTAGATACCGCACCACGCCCGCACATTGACGGTCACATTGACTGAACGACAACAAGGCTGTCGGCGAGCCGTTTTCGCGCTAAGTCGGCTTTGATATTTGAATATAGTTTCCATTTATTCATTACGAAACTTGTACGTTAATATATAACATCATTGTGCGTTACTATTTATAATGGTCGTGAATTGTGCTCTGTACGTCATGTAACCGGGATAAAGAAAGGAGTTTCGGTAACCTATCACAAAGTCGAAAATTTTTTTGTCCGAAAAAACGTTTGTTCGAATTTTCATTACACCGAAAATCGAACTATAACGCAACAGGTGTTCTTTCAGGGTATGTTGAATGTGTATCGCAAAGACACTATTAGGTTTGGTTATGTTAGATTAAGTTAGGTTTAAAAGAAAAAAACATTTTCCTCTCAAAATTACTTTCGAGATTATGAATACCTAATTAATATCTAGGTAATGATAAACTTGGACACGCAATTTCAAATACCTTGGTTACCTTATTTAAAAGTAACTGTCTAAAATATAACATTTTAAGTGCTATTAATATATTTTTTAAATAAATCTTCAATATTATTCTAGATAGTGAATTAATGGAAAATATAATATTACGTATATCGATATAAATACTTAATGAACATGTGTAATTATTAGGATTCTATTAATAGAATTATCAAATTCGCGTTAGAACTTTTGGTATGTTGCTGCTCTGAACACGTAACGTAGTACGAGAAAGTTCACGCACACATTTGCGCGTGTGCAGATAGCGCCTTGCTGTAGGTAGTAGTAGTAGTAGGTAAATAACTTTCGACTGTTGTATGGAGAGTGCAGGGTGTGATTATGTTACTAACATCATTTAGTAACAGTAGAGTACCTAGTGATAGTTTTTAATATAATTTTTTTTGCGCCTGTTGGTAAGCGACACGCCTGTCCACAACAGTTGCGGTGCCACACAGAGCTTTAAATCGCAAAGATCCGAGGGGCACTGTCACTAAATTCACCAGCACCCTTACCCTTCAAAACAGGAACACAGTAATACTGACATTCCTGCTTAGCGGCAGAAATAGGTAAGGTGGCAGTACTGCTACTAAATATGCTACTAAAAACGTCCAGCAGGTGAAGGCCTCACCTGGCTCCTGACGCGCTCCCACAGCAGGTCCGGGGTCCTCAGTGCGTGGACGTCGATCTCCGTATTAGAATGGCCCATGTTGCACACCACGCAACCGTTCTTCATACGCTCCATGTGCTCCCGTGTCACTACACCCTTATTCCCCGTCGCCGTTATCACAATGTCCACTTGCCTTATTACCTGGAATTGGATTATTGATTTAAAAAAAAGATTTAGTGCCTATGAACACAGAACAATAAATATACTAGAAGTGCTTAGTTTGCGTGACACGTGAGCCAACATTATGCGAATATCATTGACTTACAATTATATGGACGTCGGGTCTGCGCTAAAAAGTGTCCGAACTTATAGGGCGTTAAAATCGTATACAGAGCGTCATTCGCGCTCTAGTCTTCGTGTGTTCGACTGACAGCGAAGCAAGCAAAATTAGACAGTACTGCGATGACATTACAATTTAAATTCAACGTTTTAGCTATTTCATATTCCTTTACATGTCACTACGTTTAAATAGGTTGACTTCGGACATTTTTTTCGTGGTTTTTGTATTAGACCCGTCGTCCATTTATTTGTAATCATCATCATCATCAGCCTATTGCAGTCCACTGCTGGACATAGGCCTCCCCTAATGCACGCCATTTCGCCCTGTTCTCGGCTTGACGCATCCATTTCCTGCCAGCAATCTTCCGCAGATCGTCACTCCATCTGGCTGGAGGGCGTCCCACACTACGTTTGCCAAGTCGTGGTCTCCACTCAAGAACTCGTTTACCCCAGCGGTTGTCGGTTCTTCGGCAGATATGTCCAGCCCACTGCCACTTCAGCTTGCTTATCCGAAGAGCTATGTCGATCACTTTGGTTCTCTGTCTGATAACCTCATTACGGAGTTTATCTTTCAGAGAAACTCCGAGCATAGCTCGTTCCATAGCTCGCTGAGCGACTTTAAACTGGTGGACTAGCCGTATCGTGAGTGTCCACGACTCAGCTCCGTACGTTAGAACTGGTAGGACGCACTGGTTGAAAACCTTTGTTTTCAAGCTCTGCGGGATGGGCGACGAAAAGACTCGACGTAGCTTCCCAAACGCTGCCCAGCCAAGCTGAATCCTCCTCCTGGCCTCCTTCTCGAAGTTATTTCTACCTAACTGCAGAATCTGCCCGAGGTAAGTGTATTCGGAAACAACTTCAAGAAGGTGGCCATCGACGCAGATGGGTCTCGGATCAATGTGGTCATTGATCATGACTTTGGTTTTATCAAAGTTCATGCCGAGACCAATCCGCCGCGAGGCGGATGCTAGGCTGTTCAGCATCTGATCCAGTTCCTCCAGCGATTCTGCCATTAGGACTATGTCATCTGCAAATCGCAAGTGTGAGATGTACTCGCCGTTTATGTTAATGCCCATCCTTTTCCAGTCCAGCGTCTTAAACATATCCTCCAATGCAGCGGTGAACAGTTTCGGGGATATGACATCCCCCTGTCTCACCCCTCTGCGTAATTGGATAGGTTCAGACTGCTGGTCCTGTACTTGGACACTCATGGTAGCAGCATCGTAAAGACATCTCAACACTTGTATATAACGATAGTCCACTTGGCACCGCTGTAAGGATTCCAGGACAGCCCAGGTTTCGACAGAGTCAAAGGCCTTCTCATAGTCCACGAAAGCTAAACACAGGGGCCGATTATACTCTTCGGACTTCTGTATAATCTGCCTCACTGTGTGTATGTGGTCTATGGTGCCATATCCTCCCCGAAACCCGGCCTGTTCCGGTGGCTGAAACTCGTCGAGTCTTCTTGCGAGGCGATTCGTGATGACTCTAGAAAACAGCTTGTAGACGTGACTCAGGAGTGAGATGGGTCGGTAGTTTTTCAGTAGAGTTTTATCTCCCTTTTTAAAGAAGAGAACTACAATACTCCTGTTCCACGCCCGTGGAGTTCTCCCGCAGTGAATGACCAAGTTAAAGAGCTTCAGAAGTTCCTGGATAATAGGAACTCCTCCAGACTTCAAAAGCTCCGAAGTAACTCCGTCTTCACCGGGGGCTTTTCCATTTTTAAGCTGTTTTAGAGCCAACACGATCTCGTCTTGACTGATTTCTGGCAGGTCGTCGGTATAGTGGCGCGTCAAGGTGGCTCTCAAATCGTGATTGTCACGCTGGACCCGAGGAGCATTTACAGCGTACAAACGGCCATAGAAGTCCTCTATCTCGGCGAGTATCTGCGGCTTTGACGTAACGGTTAGGCCATCGTGCGTTGTAAGCTTCGTCAGGTGGCTCCTTCCAAGCTGCTGAGTGAATACTTTGGACCCTCGGTTTCGCTCTATCGCCTCCTCAATGAGGCGTGTATTGGAACTCCGAAGGTCACGCCGTACCATCTTCGCAATCTGCTTGTTTAGGTATGACCTCTCTGACGAAGTGGCCTGGATGTCATCGCGTCTTTTCGTCATAAGTCGCAGAGTCTCATCCGAGAGTTTAGACTTCTTTCCCGTACGCTGCAATTGACAGAATTTGATGCCCTCGCTTCTCAGCGTCCCAACCACGCTTTGTAGGGCCTCGTCAACGTCCTCGGTGGGTTTCAGCTCGACGAATCTCGCTTCGAGAAGTTCATGGAACTTCTCGGAGCCCGCCATGATCTGGAGTGGATTAGGACGGAGCGTGGACTTCATCAAGCGGCTTCTTTCAAGTTTGACATCGATATTCAGAGAGCCTCGTACAAGTCGGTGATCAGATCCGGTGCTAAACCTGTTGATCACTGAGACATCTCTGAATATGTGTCTCTTGTCCGTCAGGATGAAATCGATCTCATTTTTAGTCACAGCGTCGGGGCTTCGCCAAGTCCACTTCCTTTGAGGCTTCTTCTTGAAGAACGAATTCATCAAGAAGAGCCCCTCGTGCTCGAGGAAGTTGACTAGCGTTTGCCCCCTGTGATTCCTTACTCCATAACCATGCGGGCCGACTCGAGACTCGTCAAGATTTGGGAATCCCACTTTAGCGTTAAAGTCCCCCATAACAACGTTGAAGTGAGCCTTGGTGGTGTTGTGTAAGGCTTTCGATATGTCCTCGTACATATCTTCTACATCGTCATCCGAATGTGTCGAGGTCGGTGCGTAGGCCTGAATGATCTTCAGGCTATACCTTTTTGATAGCCGAAGGATCAGGTACGCTACCCTGTTCGACACACTGGAGATCTCTTCAACGTTGTTAGAGAGGACTCTGTTGACGAGGAATCCTATACCACCTTGGGATGTTTGATCACCCTCGCGGAAGTACAGTAGATGGCCCGAGTCTAGGGTTATGGTGTCCTCTCCCTCTCTTCGGACTTCACACAGCCCCAGAACATGCCATCTAATGTTCTCCAGTTCCACTTCCAACTGTGCAAGGTGTTCGTCAAGCCTAAGAGTTCGTCCGTTAAACGTAGCCAGGGTCAGTTGTTTTTGGTAGCCTGCGGTAGCCCGGGGATTCTTAGCACCCCCTACCCCGCCGGTACCATGGCCGCTACCGTGACCAGGAATAGCGGGGCGACCGGGAACTGGGGGCCTTCGATTGGTTGTGCCGTCCATGAAGGGGGTTATTGCCCATAATCTCCACGCTGGGCATGCGGGTTGGAGATCGCAGGGCGCTGCCTTTGTACTACCGACGCTGCTGCCCATCGGTAGCCAGCAGATTTGACAACGCCAATGTGGGGAAGGGCTATACCGCCTACTACCGGTCGCCAGAGCCTCGTCGGTTACTGCAGGATGTACCGCGTGCAGGTGAGGTTGACAATAAGAGCTGTGATGGTGTGTGCCCCCTTACATCAAAAATTTATTTGTAAGTCAATGGCGAATATCCACATATTTAAGCACAGTCTGCCATTTCCGTTTGGATCTGCCTCGAAAATGGTAGAAAAATTCCTTATTTTCCTATTTGAAGTGCATATATGATGGTCATACTTGTAATACTGTCTATGGTGGTGTTGCATATAAGTCTTATTTTATGTAATTATTAATAAACTTCCAATTTTCTGTTTATCGTAATACATTAAATAATATACATAAATGTACAATACATATACAATATACATACATGAAATTACAGGCATATGGGACTTGTCAAATTATGTCTGAGGGTGACGGGCGCAATGGCAGTGCCCCTCAGATTTTTGCGATTTAAAGCTCTGAGTGGCACTGCATCTGGTATGCACAGGCGTGTAGCATAACATCAGCCACATACGACTCGTTCGTCCCTTCACTTGATATTATTAAAAAAAAGGTTACAAGAAACGAAAATAAACCTTATACCATTGCAATATGTACACTTCTTTTTGGGAAAACTAAGTAAACATCTCGGATCCGTCGTCGTTCAGCTATTGACCGCTAGATGGCAGCACATTGATTGAAATTTCAATATAAAATCAAAACGTCTTGTAACTTGCAATAATAGGTACTGAGGGTATAGTTTAAATTATATTAACAGTCCAGAATTAGTTATTTCTCTTTAAATTTCAAAGTACGACCAATCATTATCAAGAATTCATAGTGTTTTAAATTTTAGCTACTGCGGTTCTAATACTAACCCAGAATTAAGGCATTTAATGCAACTTGATACCATTTACACTAGTTTATCATCCTGTGCTGCCGTGGTAGCCTATCGGCTTGACCTACCACCTCGCAGGCAGAGGTCGAAGGTTCGACTCCAGTCTCACACC